AAACTAAATCAAACCATGCCAACCCAAGGGCCAGACCAGGCAAATTCTGAGGACGTCCTGAGCGAAACGCCCGAAACCTTGCTCCATCCACCTTCGCTAACACAACTAAACTAAAGGAGTGGATGACCAAATGAAGGTCCCGCCGCAGGGGGTCCCATGATTCGACTTTTATGTCGGGGGGCGATGGCGCAACAACATGAATGTACTTGGGGCGCAACAGCATTCATGTGTCTTTCGGTTGTTGTTCGGGCATCGGTGACGTTGAGAACAATAAGACCCAGCCTGCAGAACACAAACAAATACAACCCGCGGACCGTGCCGTGCAGCCCGCGTGCCGTGCCGTGCGCCCGCGCGAGGCACTGATTATGTTACCTCTCGGGAGGCACTGCGGCTCCGCGACAATTCCTTTAACAACCTGTCGCTGAGGATGTCAGCTCGCGGAGAGGCACTGCGTTATCTCTTGCGGCGCTTGGACCAAACACCCCTCATCTCATGCTGGCCCAGCACGTGCTTTCTCATGCAGCGTTGCTGCTCAGGCTCTCTTTGCGCGGTGTAACTCTGGAAGGGAGATGGAGGGAGCACCAGTCGGCAGCGAGCGAGGGGGGAAGTGAGAGGGAGAAGGCCTTCTCAGAAGGCGGCGGGACTTCTCAGAAACCCACGCGCCTTCTGAGAAGTTTGTTGTGTCTTCCGGGAAGGCTTGGAACACTTCTCAGAAGCCTGGGAGACTTCCGAGCCTTCTGAGAAGGCCCACCCCTTCTCACTTTCCCCCTGGGCTAGCCGTCAAACCACGAGGGGGAGGGAGGGAGCAGCAGACGGGGGAGGAGGGAGGGAACAATCGGAGGAGAGGGGGGAAGCCGGGAGGAGGGAGTGAGTAATCGGAGGAGGGGTAGGCTGGAGGAGGGAGGGAGAGCAATTGGAGGAGGGCCTCTTCCTCCTGTCGTACAGTCGGACCTAGGACATAATAACATCCTCCAAGAACATGAGACCCTCCGTCGGCCAAACACACACAGAACATCCAAGGGTGCCCTCCCCAAGATGTACGAGAACATCCAACAAACACAAAGAACACTAGGGTACCCTCCCCGAACCGACCTAGACCTTATGCCTCGGTCCGACTGCACGCGCGTGGAGGGTTGCCGGCCACGTCGCAACCTTTTCCTGCTCTCCGCCTGAAGCAATGTTACCATACTGCCGCCGCCCGAGCACTGCCGATCGAATCCGCGGGTGCAGGGACAGAGCTCATACACACACTTCGAGCTGCGGGTGCCTGGGAGGCTTCCTGACATCTGCGCAGCTCTGTCCCAACACCGAAGGCCCGTCGCGTACATTTGGCATGCCGCCCGCGCAGATGCCGTGCCCCAACCCAATGGCAATCTCAGCTCACGCCTTCTCGGTCTCCTCCTCCCACAGCACGATCTTCGGGTCGCGCCTGCAGAAAGTGCGCACCGCCAACGCCAAATTGTCCGAATCCTCCATCATTCGGCCGTGGCAGCCGGCACGAACGGCTGGCGGAATCTTGTCAGCGCCAGCATAGACCTGCTCCTTGAGGTCCTTCACCGTAGCCATAGCGGGGAAATAGAAGGATGATCCGTTCTTCCACGACGAGATGAGGTTCTTGGAGTCATCGGGCTGAACCGCCTTGTCTGCGACGAAGACGTTGTACTTGTACTGCGTCTCCGCGCGCCACCGGACGTAAAACAACGCCCCTGGGTACAGGAAAACCACGGTGTACTTCACGTTGGACTGCGAGTTCCAGAACGTCTCGTACAGCCGACCCGCGCGGAACTTCACGCCCTCCGTCAAGAAGGACCAGGCCCAACGCTTCGGCATCGCGGCCATCTCTCCACCTGCAGCGTTCTCGTGCCCACGGGGCGCACGGGTCGTGCGGGCGCGCTCTGGGGCGGGGGGCGTCCGAATCGGCTTGAGCCCGGATGGCGATGGGGGCGCCCGCGCCGCGACTCTCACACTGCGCCCCTGAACATCACGTTCACGAATATTCAGTTTTGGGATGGCCGGCCACAGTACGTCTCCCGAAAACCTTTGGTCCCAGTTGGCCACCTTTCCTTCCTCCATCCTCCCGCGGCCGCCTTTCCCCCCTGCTTCAGGCATCCTGCAGTGCCTCAATGGCGTCGTCCAGTGGCCCCGGGCTGCTCGACCGACCTGTTGTCTCGCCGGGCCCGCGACAACATAACAGACACTGTTCTGAGCGGGCCCTGGCCGAAGCGCAGCAGTCCAGTGGCTCGGGCGAACGCCGATCCTTCTCTGCGGGCATGACGCTGGCCCGAGCGTCCGCATGTCGGCCGCCGCAGACAGAAGAGTACCCCTCCCGCTCTCGCACACCCCTCGCAAATCTCGTGGCCCCACAGGGAGCTCCGCCGGAGGCCCCAGCAGCAGCGGGCCGCATGCGGTACGTGCTCCAGTTTCGCGCGCCCCTCGCACGCTTCGTGGCCCCGCAGGGAGCCCCGCCGAAGGCTCTAGTGGCAGCTGGCCGCATGCTGTAATTGCGGTGCCCCAGTTTCGCGCACCCCTCGCACGCCTCGTGGCCCCACAGGGAGTTCCGCTGAAGCCTCCAGCAGCAGCGGGCCGCATGCTGTACTTACGTGCCCCAGTTTCGCGCAACCCTCGCACGTCTCGTGGCCTCACGGTGAGCTCCGCCGAAAGCCCCAGCGGCAGCGCCCGCATGCGGTACCGCAGTCACTGGGAGGGACGGGCGCCTTTTTGTACCAACTCTGGACTCGCGGTCCTCGTCTTCTCCGAGCGCCCCCAAGAGCTCTCGACCGCCTCCCCGGGACAAACTTCTTGTCGAGGGCCGTCTCTTGGCTGCCCCCGACCCCCCCCCTTCGCTCCCTGGGCGCCGAAAATATGGAAACGTGCGGATGCCGTGCTGTTTTTTCTGTTGCAGAAGCGCCTGGAGGTCTGGGTTCCCCTCGCTCAGGCCACCGACGCCAGCCAGCCGTTAGCCGACTGGCGCGTCAGTAGCCCATTTCAGACATGAGTGCCCGCCTCGGCATGTAGTCCGCTGGTGTGTGGGTGCGCAATTGGTCTGATCACCCTCCTGGTCCTCGTCCTCCTGAACATGTCGGTGGTACTGCTCCTCCTCCTGGTCCACCTCCTTCTCCCCTCCGTAATCGTCTTGCTGCTGCCCCTCACCCTGCTCCTCCTGACCCCCCTTTGTTTCGCGCCACTTTGAGAACGTGGTTCCGAGGTGTCTGTGCTCCTTCTGCTCTTCTTCTTCTTCTTCTTCTTCTTCTTCTTCATCTTCTTCTTCTTCTTCGTTCTCCTCCTCCTCCTCCTCCTCCTTCTTATCCCTCCTCCCCCTTCCCCATCTCCTCAATTTCCCTTCTCTTTATCTTCTTATTCTTATGATTCCTCCTCCTCCTACTCCTGTGTATCCTTCTCGAAGCGCCAGGCGGGCCAACAAGCAACAGCAGGGGGCAAGGCTGTACTGGCCCTGCGTCCGTCCTCTTCTTGCCGCTCTTGCCGCCACTGTGGCGACTGCAGCTGCATCTCCTACTGTCGCTCCTGCTCCTTTTCCTCTTGCCGCACTTGCCGCGTTTGCCCCTGCTCCTGTTGCTTCTCCTGCTCTTAACGCGCCTCTTCCTCCTTCTCCGCCCTCCTCATCGGTCCTCAACCGCCCTCGAACGATTCTCCAAACCTACCACAATCCCCCTGATCCCCCATCTTCGCCTCATCCTCCCCTTCTCTGATTATGGTGCCATGTTCCTCTTGCCATGCTGTACCTTTTTTCTTAATCTCACTAAATTTGTTCGGTTTCGGATTCGGTTCGGTTTGCCCCCTCCCACACCCCCTGCGCTTTCAAAGCTCCCCGGGAAACTTTACATTTAAATGGGAAACTGGGATTTCCGCGCGGGGCGGAACTTATACTCGTCCTCCTCCTCACCATCATCACTTCCCGCCTCCTCCGCCTCACGAGGAGTAAGGGGAGTGAGAGGGGGAGGAGTAAGGGGAGTGAGAGGAGGAGAAGGAGGAGGAGGAGGAGGAGGAGGAGGAGGAGGAGGAGGAGGAGGAGGAGGAGGAGGAGGAGGAGGAGGAGAGGAGGAGGGAGGAGGGAGGAGGAGAGAGGAGGAGGAGGAGGAGGAGGGAGGAGGACGAGGCGCATAAGGAGGAGGAGGAGGAGAGGAGGAGGAGGAGGAGGAGGAGAGGAGGAGGAGGAGGAGGAGGGAGGAGGATAGCACACAATATATATATATATATATATATATATATATATTATATATATATACCTATATATATGTGTATATATATACATAGAGAGAGAGAGAGAGAGAGAGAGAGAGAGAGAGAGAGAGAAAGAGAGAGACAGAGAGAGAGAGAGAGACAAAGAGAGAGATATATAGAGAGAGAGAGAGAGAGAGAGAGCGAGGCCGACGGCGAAAGTTCGCTCCGCCGAGCCGCGCGGCCGCGGCCGCGCGCCGAAGCTCCGCGGGCACCTCAGCTCAGCGGCTCCTGAGGGGGGTGTCCAGCGAGTTCCCGATTTCGAACGCCTCAGAATAATCACTCGCAGCATCCGCACCTGCACGGCGACGTTATCCCCGAACGGCGTCATCCCCGCGGCGAGCGCCTTTCCCCTTGCAAGACGGTGCCGAGCACTCGCGGCTGAACGAACTCGCACGGCACGCCCCAGTAGCGCCGCATGACAAACAAGCCAGCACGGGCAACTCGCGGAACAACTGGCCCTCGGCCTGCGGCGTCACGTAGACCGGCATCCGCGAATACGCGGTTGTGATCAGGCGACGCGATGCTGCCAAGGCGCTCCGACTTGCGCTTCATCCGCCTGCGCACGGCACACCACCGTTTGCTCGCGGGGCCCCGCAGCTGGCATGCCCAAACCGGCGCGCGGGGCCGCACCTCGGCGGGCCGTGGGGCAAGGCGGTTGGCCTTGCCGTTTCTGCGCGTCGTGTCGTCGCCTCCCACGGCCGAGCCCACCGCCGACAGCCACGTCGCGACGTCCTCCACCATGCGCTCACTCTGCGCCAGATTTAGGCGGTTAGCGGGGACAGCTTGGCATGCTCCGCCGCCGACTTGGCCGCATCATCGGTCAACTTGTTGCCGTGCCAGTCCTTGTAGCTCGCGACGCCGTCGAGGACCTGCTTGCGGCTGCAGCCTTGACCCATCTGGCCGAAAACCCGCTCTCGCCGAGGCCGCCCAATTCGTCGAGTCGCCGCGCCCCGCGCCGCAGGTGCGATCAGGCATGCGCGTGCGAACGCGTGCGCTCACGCCCGTCCTGCGTGAGCCCCGCGAATGCGAACTTCGAGCCGACGACGGCCGTGACGGGCGGCGCCGCGTACCGCAGCACGGCGAGGAACGCGCTCATCTCGCCGCCGTTGATGTCTATGAAAGCCTCCGCCAACATGCCAGGGGCGCCCGCGCGGAAGAACTCGCAGATCCCCATCGGCGCGATCGCGGCGATCGCGGCCCAGCCCGCGCTGGTGCACCTCGTGAATTCGCCCTCGACCGCGGAGCCGTCCAAGAACATATCGCCTGACGGCAGGGTCCCGTCGGAGTCGCCGAACCAGCGCAGGTTGTCTGTCCTGGGCGGCATGTAGAGGCCGCGAGGCGCTGGCCATAGCGCGCGCTCCAGCGGACACTTCACCTCCAGGAGACCACCACCACCACCAGGGTGCGAGGGGCCAGCTGAAGCTCGGCAGGCCAGCCTGGACAATCGCAGTGTCTGTGCAGCAGCGCGCCGTACTCGCCGCGCAGCAGACAATCGCTGTCGAGCGCCGCGTCCGTGGAGAACTTCCGCGCCTGGGGCCACTGCCCATCGGCGACCGCGGAGGCCAAGTGGCCGCGCTCCTTCGCCGTGAGCCTGACCGCCGTGCCAGCAACAGCAGGAGGGTCCTCCCCTGGGCGGCCGTCGGGTGCCCGTTGCCTCCCCGCAACGGCGCCGGCGAGGGCGCCGAGGCCGCCGGGCCCGCCGCCGAGGTCGCCAGGGGGGCCGCTGGGCGGCCCAGGGACCAGAAGTACATGATTATAACTAAACGCCTTTGGGTTCGGCGCGCCGCGCGGGCCGCCGGGGGCCGCCGGGCGAGCCGCCGGGGCTGGCGGGCCGCCCGAGGCCGCTGAGGAGGCCGCCTGGGCCGCCAGGCGCGCATCCTGGGGGCCATCGCCTCCGCCGTCGGGTTGAACGTTCGCCCCGAAGACGCCCCTGCGGCTCGCCGCGCCAGCCAAGTGCTCGAGCTTGGGGCGCTTGGCAGCCTGCTGCCGCTGCCAAATCTCGACTGCGCGCCAAAGCAACCGCTTCGCAATCCAGGGGGGGGGGCGTCGAAACCCTTCAGCAGCGCGCCCTCGTGCGCGCGCCAGGTAGCGGCGTCCGCGATCTCCCGGCCGACGCGCGCCGACGACACGCGGACGGCCCAAAACGGACCGCGGACCTTTTGCCGCGTGCCCGCGTCGCACTGCGCCAGGCCGAATGCGAGGGCGTGGGGAAGCAGCCGCGACTCCCAGGCCGCGCGCAGCATGCCGACCACAAGCAGCGGCGTTGCCAAATGGATCGGGTCGGGAACCTCGTCATCACGAGGGCGGGCGTCCTCGAACGCCCAGCAACGCTCGGCGCCGCGGCGGTGGAAACGAGGTGGCGCAGCTTGTCCAACTCTCCCACGGCGCAGCCTGTGACGCTGAAGTCATCGGCGGCGCGGCCTCCCAAGCCCGACCTGGCGACCTTCCTGGCGGCCTGCTTCCGCCTCCTGCCAACCTTCAGGACGTTGGCGCGATGGATCCTCGAGCCGGCCTGCGCCGTTATCTCCTATCTCGCCCCGCGCGCGATGAGCTTGCCGCGTGGGAAGTCAGCGCCGAGGTTGCGCTCCCCCCGAGCTGCTTAACCCCCGGGGGTCGTCGCAACCGTCGCTCGAGCTCATCGCGCGCAGCAGGCGCAGTCGCTAGCGCCCGAAACATCTTGCCCGCCACGTTGAAGTCGATCTCGGCAAGGAGCCCCTCGAGCTGAAAGGCAGCCGCAGCCGCCTCGCGCATCGCGCGCGCCATGCCGCCGACGCAGTGGAACATCAGGTCGTCCACAACGGCCGCCGGCGACGCCGCGGGGCGCAGGCGCAGCGGGCGGTCGGGCGGTTCGATCAACACCAGCTTGAGGAAGGAGGTCGCCCAGCCATCGCCAGGCAGGATGGCCTGCCTCGCCAGGGTGGGGCTTGAGGCAGCCCGCCCGAGGCACAAGATGCGCGGCGCGCAATGAAGCTCCACCTGCAGCTTGCGCTGTCGCAACGGGAAGCCCGCGCGGTCGGCCGCGTCCAGCAGCCAGTGGCGGCGCGCCTGCTCGAAAGTCTTGGGAAGGTCAAAGGGCGCCGCCACGGCGACCCAGAAGTCGCATCGCCCTCCTGTTTCCCCTTCTCAGTGGCCCACTCGCCGATCGCAGCCTGGCTTTGAGAAGCCGCTGTTGAGGATCACCTCCGCCCCCGTATTCCAGTCGCCACCGGTGATGGGGGGGGGGCTTCTTGGGGCGTAGCGTGGTCGGCAGGAACCCGGGGAGGTCCTCGCTGCCCCCGACGAGGCCGATTCTGTGGTAAAGTAGACCGAGCCGGTGGTGAGCGACGGCGTCGGGATGGGCGGAACTTGCCTCAATATGAGGCGGTGCTCCCGTGTCTGCGGGATGTCGCCAACATTTTTGGACCCGAATGCCGGCGAGATCAGGATGCCGACTCCGCTCGACACTGCCTGCGCATGATCGCCTTGGCGGACTGAAGGGCCCACTGCAAGGGGGCGCATCCCCGACCTGCTCCCGTGCTGACTGGGCCGCCTGGTCCGACATGAACCTGGTCTCCTGGGCGAAGATGACTTGTGGGAGCGCCTCCTGCTTCTCTGAGCGCGCTCTGCGTGGAACCTCAGGTGTTGCCGTTGGTCGTGGCTGCTCGCAGGGTGCCTAGCTCGCCAGAGCTGGGCGTCGGCGTCGGCAACTCGTCCAGTTTCAGGAGCTGCCGGCTTGGAACTGCCTCCGCTCCTAACCGTTGGGAGCTTGCTTGCGGGGCCTCGTCTATCTTCTTGAACTGCTTCAGAGAGGTGCGCCCTAGAACGGTTATAATGTCAGTTGTCCGGCAGGCGCCGACCCGCTCTGAAATCGCCAAACTAGGGCGGTTGCGCGGGCGGGGTGTCATCGAGCCAAGTAAGATCCACATGGGCTGGCCGCTCCAGTCCACCATACTTCACCCTCGATTTCGTACCCGTGCACCCCGACGTGGTCGACGTGGTCCCTGTGCTCCGTCCTGGAGAATTCACTTTCCAGGCCACAAGTGCCCTCGAACCAGTATCCTCCTCCTTGCGCCGCCCTCTGGACTGCAATTCAGAGGCTACTAGCGCCGACAATCTCATGGATGTGGACCCTGCCGTGGTTGCCGTTGTCCCTGTGCGCCGCCTTTGAGAATGCACCTTCCGGGCCACAGGCGTCGTCGGAGGAGGAGCCGAACTCGGAGTACTTGCCGCTGGAGTGTTTCCTCTTGTGCCAGAGCCCTTTTCGTTGGTCCTTGAAGGGTGGATACCTCCGCCTGAGCCCAACGCTCTGGGTCGGTGGTGAAGCAGCGCTCGGGCCGAATGGCGGGCACTGGGCACCCAAAAGGAGGCCATTCCGCATCGACGATGCTGTGCTCCCAAGGCCGGTCGAGCGGGAACTGGTTCATGGTGTAGGTCCTGCTTTCACAACGATCGGCTGCTTCTGAATCCTCATCATCACGTAGCGGTCGGTCTGGAAGCACTCGGTCCCGAAGTAGACGACGGAAGAATTTGAGCGCGCGGAGCTCCGCCCGGTGTAAGTCCAGCAGCCGCCTGCGCGTCCCCCACCCAGGGTTGAGGCGCCTCAGCGTCCGCCTGGAAGCCACTCGGCCCGCGCGCCTCGCTGCCAGGCGTCATCGCATAGGACTTCTGCGACTTGGCGTAGCGTCATGGCTGGATGCCGCTGCAGAAGGAGGTGGTTGTGAAACTGTGTGTTTTTGGGCCTCCTAGTGGCCGCCTCGAAGTATGGCACGCATCACTTCATCCAATGCTCCTTGCTGGTGTAGGCCTCGCCCCTGAGGTCGTGGATCCAACGCCTCGACGCATCTACCATCTCCACTCGAAAATCTCGGCGGAGCTCTGCAGGGCCGGGCGGAAGTACGCCTGGCGGCATTTGGCCCTTCCTGGAACGCGGCTGCGGAGGGTCGATCTGGCTCTGGCAGGTGAACTCCCAAAAATTGTTGTAGGTCGGCTGGTCGCAACCGTACACGAAGTTGAACTCGCTCCTCTCCTGCTCCCCGCAGGCCCCAAGCACGAACTCGTCGAATGTATTGCCAGCCTCTGTCTCATCAGATTGCCAGCGTCTGTCCCATCACACTGCCCACCATCAGGATTATATAACATGGACGGCTGGATGTAGAGGGTCCTCTTCTACAGCACTCAACGGAGAAGCCATCAGATAAGAGAGCCGTCGTCACGTGGTACATCAAAACTGAGGCGAGGAGGAAGAGGAATACGGAGGAAGAGGGAAGAGGCACACGGAGAGAAGACGGAATACGGGAGTTCCATGAGGACCGGGAGATGGTTCCGCGCGAAAGTCCCACGCCATCCTTTTCAAATCCTTGAACGGTTTTCGGAAGATTCTTTTAATTGCGGGGGTCCGGCTACGAACTGGGGCCCGGAAGTCTTACAATCGCTGGGGGGGGCGACACCGAACTGAAAACGCTTCGGTCTTATTCATTAATCTTCTTCTCCTTATCCTCCTGCTCCTCCTGCCCCGCCCTCCCTGCAGATGACGACGACGATGACGATGACGATGACGATGGCGACGACGACGACGTTCACGACCACGACCATGACCACGCCGCCGACGACGACCCCGACGACGACGCCGACGACGATGGGCACCGCACGAACATGTGATTTAGTAAGTTGCTTTGACCTTCATTTGTTTCTCCCCTTCCCTTGAATCTGCCCCCCGATTCCATAAACCAGCCCCATTTTGGCGGGACTTCTTTGCAGCTCCTGGGATAAGCGCTCAATATGGAGCGCCCTTCCTGAGTTTGAGAAAGCATGCGACCAGGGCGCTTGGGAGTAAATTGCGAGGTGGTTTCGGAATGGAGTCGTTGCCATTGTAGTTGGGCCTTCGAAAAGTAACCTGAGGATGTGTCGATCGGGAGCTGTTGTCATCGTAGTTGAGCCTTCGCCAATCTGATTCGATTGAACTGCGAGGGTTTGTCTGGAGTTAGGAACCTCTATGGCCAAGGGTCTCTCGGAGTAATTTGCGAGGAGGTATAGAGCGGGAGCTATTGTCTCTTTAGCTGGGTGTTACGGGCCAAGATTGAAACTCAAGCCCGCGCTCGAGCGGGAGCTTCGTCTTCAAAAGGAGCGTGTAACCGGCGTCCGGGCGAGAGCGCCCAGATCCGTTTCCATATATGAGCATGTTAGATTCTCTAGACGAGCGTACCCGACGACGACGATGACGACGACGAGCTGCGACGCTGCCCAGGGCCGCCGAGGGTCGCCAGAGGGCGGCCGCCGAGGGCGGCCACTGCAATTGCCGCCGAGGGGCGGCGAGGGCCGCGTCGGCGGCCAACCGCCCAAGCGTTTTTTCCCATTCTCCATCGCTCTCTCCCTCTCTCTCTCGCTCTTTTTTTATTGTTTATCCCTCTCTCCCTCTCTCTGATACATATAGAAAAGTGCGTATGTGTAGACATATGTTTACACACACATCTCTCTCTGCAATTATATATATGTGTGTGTATGTGTATATGCGTGACGAAAATTGAAACATGCGACAAACAACAAACAACAAAACGCCCAAGGCGGCGGGCACCCCGCCGGCCTCGGGGAACACGGCCGCGAGGTCCAGGGAACCGCGTAGGCCCTCCTCAGGGAGATCGGCCGGCCGGTGGGAGTGGGGGTTGGTGGACGGCGACCCGAAGAGGGTGGGGAGGGCGAGGGGCGGGGGCCAGGGGGTGGGGGCTGGGGGAAACGGGCGTGCGAATGGTGGGCGAGGAGGGGCGAGGGGGGCGAGAGGCGGGCCGACAAGGGGGGGGAAGGGCGGAGGGCGAGGGGAGGGGGGGGGGGGGGCGATAACGGTGGAGGGCGGTGGGGGGCGAGAGAAGCTGGGGTCTGCGAGAGGAGGGGGGGGGGGCGATAACGAGGGGGTGGGCAAGGGAGGCGGGTCGAGGGGCCGAGAGGGGAGGGGGGGGCGGGGCAAGGGGGGTGGAGGGTCCGGACCTCCGACGCAGCTTTTGTTGGCTGTTCTTCCCGCGCGCAGTTCGTGGGGGCGTCTTTTCGGCTCCGCGGGGGGCGGCGGCCCTCTCGAGGACGGCGGCGGCGACGATGACTGCGACCACGACGACGGCGACGGCGACGGCGACGACGACGGCCACGATTGCGGCGGCTGCGGCGGCGCGCTCCTCGTACGCTGCGAGCTCGCGCGCGCTTTTGGCCGCGAGGAGGCGGGCCTCTCGCGGCGGCTCCCATCCCCGCCACCTGTCGTCGTCGTCGTCGTCGTCGTCGTCGTCGTCGTCGTCGGAACGGATTTTGTTGTGGGCATTTTTGTATCTTTGATTCTCTTTGGGCCTCCAGAGGCTTCTGGGGAGGAGTCTAGGAGGAGTGAGGAGGAGAAGCAAGACGGGGAGTTTGAGGGGGCATCTTGCAAGTTCGAAGGCTTTCTGAGGGCCGGGGGTTTGGAAGATGGAGAAAGAGGGGGTGGAGGGTCCATGGAAGGGGGGCAGAAGGGGAAGCGGGGCGCGACAGGGAGGAATAGTCATAAGAGCCCAAGGGGGGTTGTGGGCCAGCACGGGCGGGAAGAAAGGCACCGCCTTTTGGAAGTCTTCCCCACCCATCTGTTCCCTCCGCTTCCTGGGGGGATGTGGAAGATTTGCTCGCTTCCGCGGCTTCATATATGAGTGGAACGATGAAGGAATGGGCTCCGAGAGGAGTGTCGTCCCGCGCTACAACGATGCGTGGTGGGGGTGGGGGGGGGGTGGAACGATCATTGGGCAATGATTTTCAAAGGGCGCACCCTTGCCCTAGCTACTATTGCCTACCCCCCCTTTTCCTCGGAACTATGCCCTGATGCCGATGGGGCCAATTCGTGTGCTGTTGCATGCCCCCAACGGCCTTGCAGCCTTACCCTGGATACTCCAGGGGGCCTCGGTCCAATATCTGACCACCCAGTGACGCCCCCGGGACCTGCAGGCAGATTTGGCCGCGAGGGAGAGCAGAAGGGTGCAAAGCACGTGCAAGTCACCCCTTCTTGCCGCAGGAGGCGGAGCGGGGGGGGGATGAGGAGGGGGGGCGACTGGGGATGAGGCGGATTCGTAGCTTCCCAGCGCCATGTGCCCTCACCATCATCATGATAATATTGACGCGCAGGTCTTTCAGATAGGCGTCTTCGACCCTTGCAGTCAAGCATCGCCATGTCATGTCGAGCGCCCCGAACACGGTCTGCCTTCGCAAGGATGGCCAACGAACCGACACTCTCAGCACAGGTGGCGATTCTGGGGGCGCACGGAAGGGAATGGCATGGTCAATTCGCAAGCACATGATCTTCGTCAAGGAAGGATGAGGCGTCTGGCTCGTTGCTCCGACAACGACGAAAGAAAGCTTTGGCCAGAGCCCGCCTTCGATCCTGGACGCATGTTCCTGTCGAGTTTTGTTGGCCCTATGCGTGCGCTCGACTGCCAGGCCTTGAGTCTGCTCTCAAGAATAAACTCCGCACGCCCTCCATTATAGCTGGAGTGCAGTATCCCCAAACAGGGTTTTTAAACCCACTGCGGTTTCCAAGGTCGATTGCGTGCCCGTCCAGTGCGGGCTGGCATGGCATGTTAGAACATGCCTCCTCCTCCTCCTCCTCCTTCTCCTCCACCTCCTCTTCATCCCGAACGGCATCTCGGAGCCCAAAATTGCGAGGATGTCTCCAGCGTAACGGGCTGGACCACCTCGCGCGCGGCATCTCGGAACCCAGAGTTGCGACGATGTCTCGGGCGAAACGTGCTGCGAGGAAGTCTCAGGCGAAACGGGCTGGACCACCTCGAGCGCGGCGTCTCAGAGCTCCGAGTTGCGGGGGCCTCCTGGGGCCTCCTGGGGACCTCCTGGGGCTTCCTCCTGGGCCTCCTGTGGCCTCCTGGACCCCACCTGGGGCTTCCTGGAGCCTCTTCGGGCTCCCAAGGGGGGATATCTAACATGTGGCCGTCGGCCCCCCCCAAAATGGGGCCACAAGAGCAGGACAAATCAACGAATCGACACCGGATGTGTATTAACTTGACACGTTCTGATAGGGGGCCTCCTGGGGCCTCCTGGGAGCCTCCTGGGAATCTCCTGGGGACCCCTGGAGCCTGTCCTGGGCGTCCTGCGGCCTCCTGAAGCTCTCTGGGGCTTCCTGGGGCTCCCAGGGGGGATATGTAACATGTGGTCTTCTGGGCCCCCAGGCTGGACCGCCTCTTGCGCGGCATCTGGGAGCTCAGAATTGCGAGAATGTCTTGTGCGAAAGGGCCAGACCACCTTGCGCACGGCATCTCAGAGCTCAGACTTGCGAGGATGTCACAGGCGAGACGGGCCGGACCACCTCGCGCAGGGCATCTCAGCTCTGAGTTGCGAGGATGTCTCAAGCGAAACGGACTGGACCACGTCGCGCGCGGCATCTCCGAGGTCAGAGTTGCGAGGATGTCTCAGGCGAACTGGGCTGGACCACCTCTTGCGCAGCAGCTCAGAGCTCAGAGTTTCGAGGATGTCTCAGGCGAAATGGGCCAGACAACCTCGCGCGCGGCATCTCAGAGCTCAAAATTTCGAGGACGTCTCAAACGAAACGGGCTGGACCACCTCTCGCGCGGCATCTCGGAATGCAGAAATGAAAGGATGTCTCAAGTGAAACGGGCCAGACCACCTCTTGGGCGGCATCTCGGGGCTCAGAGTTTGGAGGATGTCTCAAGCGAAACGGGCCGGACCACCTCTCGCGCGGCATCAGAGAGCGCATAGTTGCGAGGATGTCTTAGGCAAAATTGGCCAGACCACCTCGCGCACGGCATATGAGGGCTCAGAGTTTGGAGGATGTCTCAGGCGAAACGGAGCCCAGAGTTTCGAAGATGTCTCAGGCGAAATGGGCTGGACCACCTCTTGCGCGGCATCTCAGAATTCAGAATTGCGAAGATGTCTCAAGCGAAACGGGCCAGACCACCTCGCGCACGGCATCTCAGAGCTCAGAGTTTGGAGGATGTCTCAGGCGAAACGGGCCGGACCACATCTCGCGCGGCATCTGGGAGTTCAGAGTTTCGAGGATGTCTCAGGCGAAACGGGCCGGACCACCTCTCGCGCGGCATCTGGGAGCTCAGAGTTTCGAGGATGTCTCAGGCGAAACGGGCCGAACCACCTCGCGCGCGGCATCTGGGAACTGAGAGTTTGGAGGATGTCTCACGCGAAACGCCCAATCCTGGACAACTCAGAAACGAGAGTTGCGAGGATGTCTCAGGCGAAACGGCCTGGACCACCACATTTTTTTGAGGACGTCTCTGCTTTGAATTCCCTCGGCCAGAGTTAGCTTCTATCACAACAGCAACCCGTTCAGCAAGCTGTTTGGGGAAAACCAAAGCTTTAGGTGGTTGTGAAACCTAAGGTAGCATGAAGAATGCAGGGCCCCCCCCCCCGCGCAATGAATTCGGCATCCAGGAGGTGGTAAAAAACTGCGACATCTACAGACAATAGTTGGCAACAAGGAGTGCCGCGCCATTCTGTGAGCTGCTTTTTCGTGGCGGACCCTCAGCATCTCTCGCAATGGCGGCCATCTCTCCAAGCCAATGGAGGGTGCCAAAGTGGGCAACCGTGGCTGGGGCTGAGCGAATCGCGCGACACAAATCTCCGTCTCGGCGGGGTCTCGGATCTGCAATCGTGGAGTCCATAGTTGCGCGCAGCAGCCTCCGACGAACCAGCTCCGCTAATTTTTCGTGTATGGCGACTCGGGCCCGCCCGTCGGCGGGTGCTCTCCAAATTTCCACTGCTTCCCCTGTCAACTGATCGGCGCGTTCGTTGCCGACCAGCTTCTGCATGTTCAATCCTCGCGACGTTGCTTCTTCCCTCGGCGGAGGTGAGTTCAGGAAAAATAAATGGAGCTCACGGTCCTGTGCTGTGTGCATGTGCTGTCCAATGGCTTCCCGCAAGTCCGTGCCCTCCTGGGCAGCTCTGGGATCGAGGTAGATGTGGCTCCTCCATTCTTTCTCGGCCCCTCGTTGCCTGTGATGTCTGTGGGAGGCCCTCCGGTTGCTGCGAATGACGAACTCTAACACCGCGAGCTCTCCTCGATGCGCCGTCTGTCGCCTGCCTGCCAAAGGCCCCTGCGCCTCCAACTAAAGACGAACTGGGTCGGCGCGCTCGACGATGGTGGGCCCCGGGCCTGCTCGTCTTAGCTTGGGTCACTGCGCGTCTCCTCTGCCGCTAGCGCCACCGAGCGCGAGATCGAGCCTGTGGCCACGAAGCCGTCGTTGCCGAGCTGCTGATCCGAGGGTCTTCAACCCAATCCCAGTCTGAGAAACTCCAACTCTGGTGGTGGTCGTTCTGCTGTCCATGACTTGGGGATTATCCCATGGGCCAGAAGCGCTGATTTTGTTCGTGTTGACTGAGAGGTGCTGGTGCGTACGTGTCCGAATCGCTGTATGCAAGTTTGTCGCGATTATGCGGGCAGAGCCAACACCTGTGTAGAGGGTCGCAATGTGGTGAGCGGCCAGGGCGCACTTGAAATTCCTCACCGCCAACGTCAAAGCGCGTCCGCGGCCATGTTCCACCTGTCGCCGCCGCCAGAACAGTTTCTGATCATGTAGCTCCTTTGGGCATCTCTCTCAGTCTTCGCAACGTGATGCGACATGAATCATTGTCGATACCCTCTGCCATTCCTTGACCGCAGAAGTGGCTGGCTGCCTGCTCCTATGAGCAAGACCAAACTGACTTGGACATGTCCGACCATATGTCGCTGAGGTCTTCGTGACCTGTGAAGACCAGTGGAAACTGACAATCAATCTGCTCACTCATGCCCCCGCCGTGATGGAGTTGCCAATGTGGGGGGGAGAAACCGGGTCACACTTGTTGTGCAGAAGGGTGGCTATCACTGTGCTAACAAGCCCACGGCTATGGCGAGCCCTCTCAACGCGCGCGATGGCCTTCACTTTCTGAACTATTGGGATCCATGCTCAAGTGGCTGCGGTGTGGATCGTGCGGTTGGTCGTCCGCCACCTGAGCCGCTCGTTGATGCATTCCTTGTTGGGACGAACTGCTGGGTCCTGCTGCGGCGCTCGCAAGTCTAACGTCGTAGTCAAACAACGGCCTTTGCGACTGGATCTGCGCATCATCCCCATCCTGCGTCGTGCCTTCAAGCACTCGGTTCCGAACATCCCGGGTGTTTGATGTCCATGCTACCGTCTGCTCTGCCACCTTTTCCAACGTGGCTGTTGCGGTGTGCTGGCGGCTAGCTCTA